TCCTTCCTTCCTTCCTTCCTTCCTTCCTTCCTTCCTTCCTTCCTTCCTTCCTTTCTTCCTTCCTTCCTTCTTGATGAAGTCTTGTTCTGTCACCCAAGCTGGTGTGCAGTGGTGCAATCTCTGCTCACTGCAACCTCCACCTCCCGGGTTCAAGCAATTCTCCTGCCTCAGCCTCCCAAGTGGATGGGATTGTAGGCACACTCCACCACACCCAGCTAATTTTTGTATTTTTAGTGGAGACGGGGTTTTGCTACATTGGCCATGCTGGTCTGGAACTCCTGGCCTCATGTGATTTTCCTGCCTTGGCCTCCCAAAGTGGTGGGATTACAGGCATGAGCCATTGTGCCTCCAAATTGCAATGAATTTCTGATTGGCTTTCCTTCCCACAGATTTTTCCCTTTCAATCCAGAATTATCCTTCTAGAACAAAAATGAATTTCTTAAACATTCTAATAGTTTTAATTGCCTTCAACCTAAATTCCAAATCCCTTATCATGGGATAAGGTTTTTCATGATCCCTTTCTTACCTGTCTAGCCATGTCTTGCTATGATTAATTTCTAACCCTTAGAATTTTCTGACACACACTGAAATTTTATGTCTACATGTTTTTTCTCATTTTGGAATTCACTGACCATCCTATTTAAAGCTTCCCTCAAGGTAATTCTTTATAAAATTGTCCTGTTTTTGTCTTCATATCACTAATTGTTATCTGAAATTTTCTTGTCCTCCCTCACAAATCTTTTTAAAATTTTTAATTTGTAATCAGTAAAATGTAAAGTTCATAAGAACAGAAAATTTGTCTCGTAAAAAAGTTACTGCATATGTAGAATAATGTCTGGCATACAGCAAGTACTCGATATGTATTTGTTGAATATATGAATGAGTGAATATAGTTATTAAAGACTCAGAAAGTGTCTTCTGAAATATGTACTCTCAATGTACATTTTATAGTAACTTTTATTCTAGGCCATATAGTATGCAGCTGTTTTGTTTTTTTCAAGATTACTTCTTATAGTGTTTTGAAAAGCACATATATTTCATATTATTCATGGTTATATAGGCAGACCCAGTTTTGTGAACAATGATTTATAGTTGCCTATGAAGTCAGACTGATTTTTTTGGATTGAATGAGCTGTATGCCAAAGGATGCAAGACAACATTACATCAGATTCTATTACTGGTTCTCCATCCAGCCCCAATGTCATGTGTCTAAGCCAAAGGGTTGGAGAATCTGGTGGTGAGAACTGAAGGACTCTGTTGGATGACTTTTCCATTGAATAATAAAGTGTGAAAGTAAAACAATGAAACAGAGGCATTCTATACACTTCTATGCAAAATGGAGGAAGGCTTTGGCATTTTAGACTCTAGTGAATATGGAGCTCATGTGAGAATTTCCTGGGAACTCCCAGAAATAATTGAAGCAGTTTTTCATAGCCTGCAGGACATATAATGGTAGATAAAACAACAGCCTTCTGTTTATACCTGGTCTTCAGACTGACTAGTTTCAGAAAACACGAGTTGTAGTTGTATCATACCACTCAGCACAACTCAGGCCACTGCATTAATTTAATTATCATTCTTTAACAGCTGTGGAGACAGTGGGAGACAGGATTTTTACTATAGAATATCAAGGGGACAATAGATGAAGAGAAGGAAAAACAGTTTTGCAGGAAGCAAAAGAAATTAAAATCTTAAAAGTCCTTTCTAGAAGGTTTTTTTTTTTTTTTTTTTTTTTTTTTTTCCCTCACTGTGCCGTCCTTTACCTTTATATCTTGCGTTGGTACCACAGAAATATCTGCTTTTATCATCTTCCATAATTTCTATTTTCACATGAGCTTTCTGCCATCTCCCTGGTGAATGGAGATCTTCGGGTCTGGACGGCTCACTACTGCTGCTCTGCCAGTGTCTGTTTTACTGAGAGTGATGCCGGGGTCAGGCATTGATCCTCTCAGAGCTGCTTTTGACAGGCAGCCCTTTGTACTCTGGAGCCAAAAGTGCCATTGCCTTTATCCATTTTGCATACAAGTTATGGAATTCCTCTCTACCTTGGCAGTAACCACTTCTAGTGTGTGGGTCATTCACTTCTGCTTAAAAGACAGATTTCCAAGAGAAAAGAGCTCCACTAATCTTCTCCCTTCTTTCATGAAAGTCTCTCCCTTTTCACTCAGGAGACTTTGAAGGAGATGGGGAATAGCCAAGTAAAATGGGGTTATCTCTTGAACAGTGGAGGCATGAAATTTAAAGATTTGAGCTATGGTCACTCTATGCTCTGTGGACTGAATAATAGCAGAAACCTGCCTGCGGAGAGGGAAGAATAAGTAGATTTAGAGAAACAGGGAAGAGAGTTACAGAATCCTCCTTCAACAGTGACTCATTGCTTAATATCTTTGACCATCTTAAGAGATTTTCACTTATTTATTTTTCCTCCCACCTTTGCACCTTTGAGTTTCTTCTCTATCAAATTTACCAAATTGGATTCTTTCTAATCTCAGTTCTGAAGATACAAGTTCCTTCTTTTTTGTTCATAGCCTTGGGCCAAGTTCATACTTATTGATATTTCAGGCTTTGTTTACTTAGCTTTCTCAACTACAGGTATTTTTTTTTCACCCATGCCTATTATTAACTATTATCCTGACTCTTTGTATGATTAGGTTGCAGAACTTATCTAAACACTGAGAATCTATAAAGGACTATTCTAGAAAACAAATATCCTGCAAGGAAAGGTTTTCAGTAATTTGTAGGGCACATTAAAAAGGAGTATAGACACATAGAAATACTTCTGATGCAGAATCATGTATATTTATTGATCTCATCAGTGCGGGAAGGTAGTGGCAGTAGTGATGAGAGTAAAGACATTACCCCTTTTTCTCAGTTTTCCATAAAACAAATATTTTCCCTGTTGGAAAAATGATAAAACAATTTAAAGTACATGAAATCAGCTGAATAAATTCTATAACTGTGTATTTTTTACCAAGATATAAGAAAATGTAAAGACAAGAGTTACCACTATCAAGCACTCTATGACACACTAAATAAATATTTTTTAGTTTGTTAATCCTCACAACTCTAATATATATTATATACCTTCATTAGTTAGACACAGAATTTTAGAAAAGCCAGAATCTGAATTAAGACTTCTTGATTTGAAATCTAGCCCACTTTTCAGTAAGCCAGTACAGCAGCCAGGATTCCACACCTTCACAGACTGGGCCGCTACTAATCAATTCATTCATCCTTCCCTTGAGTAGTTATTAGGTACCCAATATATTTTAGGCAATGCCTGTTAGCCTTGAGTGAAGCCTAAACTTGTTAAAGACATGCTTTCTCCTTGTTTCTACAAATCTGCTTACTTCCTATTATACTTACCAGATGCTCATA